GCACCGCGCACTATCGCCGCTGCTGCGGACCGGAAGGGGCGTTCCCCGGCCGCGCTGACGGACACCCGCCCAGGCCCCGCCCCAGGCCCCGCCCCCTCCCCGTCAGGCCCCGCCCCGGCCCCGCCCCCGGCCCCGCTCTCGGCGCCGCGTCGCCCTCGCTGCTCCCGGGTCCCCGCGGCGGCGGCGGCGGCGGCGGCGGCGGCGGCGGGGTCAGGGGTCGGCCCCGCCCACCCCCGGCGGTGACCCCGACGGTGACCCCGACGGTGACCCCGGCCCCGGCCGCCATGCAGTCGCTGGTGTCGCCCGTGACGAAGGCCGTGCTGGTGGCGCTCTTCATCTTCGCCATCCTGCTCATCCTCTACGTCATCCTCTGGTACATCTGCCGCGACGTGGACTGCGACCACGGGCTCTGACGTCACCCGGGGACCCCCCCGGCCACGCCCACCGGGCCACGCCCCCCGGCCACGCCCACCGGGCCCGCGGTGAGTCGGCGATCGATTGATTATCACATGTTTGTTGATTGACTAAGCGATGGTAGGGGGGGAAAATGGCCGCCGGGGGCCCCACGTGACCCCGGGGTGATCCCAGATGACCCCACGTGACCCCTATGACGTCCCGTGACCCACGCATGACCCCCAGGCCCCGCCCACAGTCGGGAATCGATCATCAATCGAGTGTTTGTTGATTGACTATGTGATGGTACCGGGGGGAAAATGGCCGCCGGGGGCCGCACGTGACCCCCGGGGTGACCCTAGATGGCCCAGCGTGACCCCCGTGACCCCCCGGGACCCGCCCCGGCCCCGCCCACCGGCCCCGGCCCCGCCCACAGTCGGTAATCGATGGATGGATCGAGTGTTTGTTGATTGACTGTGTGAGCGTACCGGGGGGAAAATGGCCGCCGGGGGCCCCACGTGACCCCCGGGGTGACCCCGGATGGCCCAGCGTGACCCCCGTGACCCCCATGACGTCCCGTGACCCCCGCATGACCCCCAGGCCCCGCCCACAGTCGGTAATCGATCATCAATCGAGTGTTTGTTGATTGACTATGTGATGGTACCGGGGGAAAAATGGCCGCCGGGGGCCCACGTGACCCCCGGGGTGACCTAAGATGGCCCAGCGTGACCCCTGTGACCCCTGTGACGCACCCTGACCCCCGCATGACCCCCCGGCCCCGCCCACCGTCGGTAATCGATGGATGGATCGAGTGTTTGTTGATTGACTATGTGATGGTAGGGGGGGAAAATGGCCGCCGGGGGCCCCACGTGACCCCCGGGGTGACCCAGCATGACCCCCGTGACCCCTGTGACGCCCCCTGACCCTCTGGACCAGTCCCGGCCCCGCCCACCGGCCCAGGCCCCGCCCACAGTCGGTAATCGATTAATTGATCGGATGTTTGTTGATTGACTAAAAGATGGTAGACGCTCAAAATGGCCGCCGGGGGCCCCACGTGACCTCGGGGTGATCCCAGATGACCCCCGTGACCCCCATGACGCCCCCTGACTCCCGCATGACCCTCAGGCCCCGCCCACAGTCGGTAATCGATCATCAATCGAGTGTTTGTTGATTGACTATGTGATCATCCCGGGGGGAAAATGGCCGCCGGGGGCCCCACGTGACCCCCGGGGTGACCCAGCATGACCCCTGTGACCCCCATGACGCCCCCTGACCCCCGCATGACCCTCAGGCCCCGCCCACAGTCGGTAATCGATCATCAATCGAGTGTTTGTTGATTGACTATACGAGCGTACCGGGGGAAAAATGGCCGCCGGGGGCCCCACGTGACCCCCGGGGTGACCCTAGATGGCCCACCGTGACCCCCGTGACCCCCCGGCCACGCCCCTGCCACGCCCCCCGGCCCAGGCCCCGCCCACCGTCGGTAATCGATCATCAATCGAGTGTTTGTTGATTGACTATGTGATGGTACCGGGGGGAAAATGGCCGCCGGGGGCCCCACGTGACCCCCGGGGTGACCCTAGATGGCCCAGCGTGACCCCCGTGACCCCCCGGGACCCGCTCCGGCCCCGCCCACCGGCCCAGGCCCCGCCCACAGTCGATAATCGATGGATGGATCTGGTGTTTGTTGATTGACTAAACGAAGGTAGACGCTCAAAATGGCCGCCGGGGGCCCCACGTGACCCCCGGGGTGACCCAGCATGACCCCGATGACCCCCCGTGACCCGCCCCGGCCACGCCCCCCGGCCCAGGCCCCGCCCACAGTCGGTAATCGATCAATCGATCGAGTGTTTGTTGATTGACTAAACGAAGGTAGACGCTCAAAATGGCCCCTGGGGGCCCCACGTGACCCCCGGGGTGACCCCGGATGACCCCACGTGACCCACGTGACCCCTGCCTGACCTCCCCGGCCCCCCCCACCCCCCCCAAGCCCTCCGCAAAGTCTGCCGAGCGGCACCATCCCAACTCCCCCCGCGCTTTGCTTTGCGGAGTTTCCTGGGTCAGCGGCCGCCCCGGCCTCTGGGGGTGGCGCGGGGGGTCGGGGGGTCGGGAGGGTGCTGGGACTCGGTTCTGCCGCCGGCGGGGCCGGGAGAGGGCCGGGGCCGCGGGGTGTGCGGGTGCTGGGGGCTCAGTCGTGCGCTGGGAGATGGAACAGGGTGCTGGGTGCTCGGTACTTCGGTTGCTTGGGGGATGGAGAGGGGGGTGTGCTGGATGCTCGGTATGCAGGGTGCTGGGTGCTCAGTCCACAGAGTGCTGGGGGCTCGGTCCAGAGAGTGCTGGGTGCTCAGTACGCAGGGTGCTGGGTGCTCAGTACACAGGGTGCTGGGTGGTCAGTCCATAGTGCTGGGTGCTCGGTACACAGAGTGCTCGGTGCTCAGTACTTGTCTTGGGGACTGAGTCGATGGAGTGCTGGGTGCTCAGTACTCTGGTTGCCCGGGGATGGGGTGGAGAGAGTGCTGGATGCTCGGTACGCAGGGTGCTGGGTGCTCAGTCCATTGAGTGCTGGGTGCTCGGTCCACAGGGTGCTGAGGACTCGGTACACAGGGTGCCGGGGGCTCGGTACTTGGCTTGGGGACTGAGTCGATGCAGTGCTGGGTGCTCGGTACTCTGGTTGCCCTGGGACGGGGTGGGGAGAGTGCTGGGTGCTCGGTACGCAGGGTGCTAGGGGCTCAGTCCTTTCAGTGCCTGGGTGCTGGGTGCTCGGTCCTCCCGGGGGGCCTCGGGCGAGCGACCTTGGGCCGGGCGGGGGTGACGTCACCGGGGGCCCTCACCGGAAGTGACGTCACCGGGTCCCGAGCTCTGGGGCGTCCCCGGCTTTAAAAAAAAAAATCTGGGACAGGAAGTCCCGCCCCCTAGAGAGCAGCACCCACTTCCGGTCCCGCCCGCCTTCACCTTGCCATCACCCGGTTCCTGGGTCCCGTTCAGGTCAATACAGAACTGGGACAGGAAGTCCCGCCCCCTAGAGAGCAGCGACCACTTCCGGTCTGGGCCTTCACCTTGCCGTCACCCGGGTTCTGGGTCCCGTTCAGGTCAATACAAAACTGGGACAGGAAGTCCCGCCCCCTAGAGTGCAGCCCCCCACTTCCGGCCCGAGCCTTCACCTGGCCATCACCCGGGTTCTGGGTCCCGTTCAGGTCAATACAGAACTGGGACAGGAAGTCCCGCCCCCTAGAGTGAACTGGGACAGGAAGTCCCGCCCCCCAAGGAGCCCAGCCACTTCCGCTTCCTGTCCCCTTCCCCTTTGACCTCTCCTGTCTCTCCCTCTTCCCCCAGGGCCATCATGGCCGCCGCCGGAGTCCTGAGGACGGGGTTCCCGCCCCCCGGGGACGGCGCCGCCTGACGACGTCATCCCCGGCGACGGCCCCGCCCGTCCATCATCTCGCCAAGCCATGAGCCGCCGCCGCCGCCATCGCCGCCGCCGCCGGAAGTGGACCCGGAGAGGGGGGTGACCTCACCACATTCGCCGGCGGCCCCGCCCACCACGCCGATTGCCACGCCCCCTGACTCTCCCGCCCTCGCGTCACCATTCCGCGCCGCGTCGTCGTCGTCCCCGCGACGACGCCATCAGCGCCATTTTTGGTTTTCCTTCTCTGCCCTTTCCGCGGGGGAGGGCGGGGCCGGGGGGCGGGGTGGGCGGGGCGGGTGACGTCACCGCGCGGGCAGGCCGGGAGGGGCGGGGCCAATAAAGGAGACTATTTTTGAGACGCTGGTGGGCGTGTCGCTGGAGGGCAGGGCCTGAACGTGACTGACAGCTGCCGGGTGGGCGGGGCTCCGGATACTCATGAATGACAGCCGCCAGGTGGGCGGGGCTCCTTCCACTCATGACTGACAGCCGCCGAGTGGGCGGGACTCCGGACACATGACTGAGACCCGCCGAGTGGGCGGGGCTCCGGGCACACATGACTGACAGCGGCCGGGTGGGCGGGGCCGGGAGAAAGACGGTGACTGACAGCTGCCTGGAGAAAGGGACCTGAAGGTGACTGACAGCCGCCAGGTGGGCGGGGCTCCTTCCACTCATGACTGACAGCTGCCGGGTGGGCGGGGCACCGGATACTCATGACTGACAGCCGCCAGGTGGGCGGGGCTCCTTCCACTCATGACTGACAGCCGCCGAGTGGGCGGGACTCCGGACACATGACTGAGACCCGCCGAGTGGGCGGGGCTCCGGGCACACATGACTGACAGCGGCCGGGTGGGCGGGGCCGGGAGAAAGACGGTGACTGACAGCTGCCTGGAGAAAGGGACCTGAAGGTGACTGACAGCCGCCAGGTGGGCGGGGCTCCTTCCACTCATGACTGACAGCTGCCGGGTGGGCGGGGCACCGGATACTCATGACTGACAGCCGCCAGGTGGGCGGGGCTCCTTCCACTCATGACTGACAGCCGCTGGATGGGCGGGACTTCGGACACATGACTGAGACCCGCCGGGTGGGCGGGGCTCCGACCACCCATGATTGACAGCCTCCCCGTATCCACCCATCCGCGGCCCGGGCGGCCTGTGGGCGTGTCCGGCGGCGTCAGGGGGCGTGTCCGGCGGCGTCGGGGGCGTGTCCGGCGGCGTCGGGGGGCGTGGCCGCCGCCATGCTGCGGCCGCTGCTGCGCGAGCTGCGGGCCGTGCTCCTGGCCTACGCCGTGGGCGCCGCCGTCCTGCTGTCGCAGCTGCTGCGCCGCTGCCGCGGGGGCTTCCGGGAGCCCGGTGAGTCACGTGGGCGCTCCCGGCGTCCCCTGCGCCCGCGGGGGGGGGGCGATCCCGGTGGGGTCCCGGTCCACCCCACCGGGAGCTGTGTGTCGGGCCTGGAAGCGTCGCCCGCCATTTTGGTAGTTCTGGGCTGTAGTCGGATGCGGCGTCCGCGGTTTCCGGAAGTCCTGCCTCCGCCATTTTTGGAGTGGGCCTGGTCAGCGGAAGTGGCGTCTGCTCCGTCCCGACGGACCCGTTCCGACTTCTTTGTCCTTCTCTTCGCGGGGCCGACGGGAAACGAGCGGGTCCTCGGGCCTCGAGAGGTCGCGGGAGACGGCGCGGCGGCTCCAACGCGGCCCGCTGGCTTTCCCGCCGTCCTTCGCGGCTCGTTTCGTTGATGGGGCGGGCGCGGCCTCGGGAACCGGAAGTGGCGTCACGCTTTTCCGGAAGTCCCCCCTCCGCCATGTTGGTTCTTCCAACGGAATTTTTTTTCTGTTTTCTTTTAAAGAAAAATTAGTGGGCGGGCGCGAGCGGGCCCGCGAGGGCCGACGGGTAACGGCGGGGGTGTGGGGGGGCATCGCGGACGCTGCGGGGCCTGACGGGAACCGCACGGCGCCGCCGAGCCAGAACGGGAAAGCGAGGGGGGAATGAGGAGTCATGGCGGCGACGCGGGGCATCGTGGGTAATGTAGTCCTCAGAGGAAGCGGACGCAGCATGGCGGCGCCGCCGGGGATGGTGGGTAATGTAGTCCTCTGTGGATGCAGACGGATCACGCCGGCGCCGCGGAGAGTGACGAGAAACGAGAGGGGCTGACGGGTTCATGGCGGCCGCGCTGGGGCCGACGGGTAGTGTAGTCTGCGAGGGGGACGGTCGGGTGAATGGTGGCCACGGGGAAGCTGTCTGTTAATGGCGGGGCCGCAGGGCGACCACGGGTTCATGGCGGCCGCGCTGGCGCTGATGGGAAATGTAGGAGGCCGACAGGTTGATGGCGGCAAGGCCTGACGAGTCATGGCGGCTCCCCCGCGGGCTGATGGGAAATGTAGTCCGTAGGAACCTGACGGGTTAAGGCAGGCAGGGACTGATGAGTCATGGCGGCTCCCCAGGGGCTGATGGGAAATGTAGTCCATAGGAAACTGACGGGTTAAGGGAGGCAGGGACTGACGAGTCATGGCGGCTCCCCGGGGGCTGATGAGAAATGTAGTCCATAGGAAACCGACGGGTTAAGGGAGGCAGGGACTGACGAGTCATGGCGGCTCCCCGCGGGCTGATGGGTAATGTAGTCCCTAGGAAACCGACGGGTTAAGGGAGGCAGGGACTGACGAGTCATGGCGGCTCCCCGATGGCTGATGGGTAATGTAGTCCCTAGGAAACCGACCGGTTCATCGCGACGCCGCGGGGGGGACAACAGGTTCATGGCGGCCGCGCTGGGGCTCCTGGGAAATGTAGTCTCTGAGGAAGCTGACGCTCATGGCGGAGCCACGGGGGACGGTCGGGCTCATGGCGGCCGCGCGGAGGCCGAAGGGACATGTAGTGCCCGCGGGCGTGAGCTCATGAATATGCATGAGGCGCGGCGAATATGCAAATGACCCGAAATAAAGATGGGAACTGGGGGCGTGGATATTCATGTTTTATGCAAATCCGGCCGCGGGAGGTGACGGTTCCCATCTTAGGGCGTCGGGGGGGGGGGGGGGGGGGGGGGGGGGTCCGTCCCGGTGACGTCATGACGCCCGCCCGCCCGTCTGCGTCATCTGCATATTCATGGCCTCGTTTGCATACCCGGGGGCCATGTGTGACGGGAAGTCCCGCCCCCCCCACTTCCTGTGTCACCTATGGGGCGGGCGGAGATGATGACATCCAAGATGGCCGACCGGCGGTGATGATGATGACGACATCCAAGATGGCCGACCGGAGGGTGATGACGACATCCAAGATGGCTGACGGGACAGTGATGACGACATCCAAGATGGCCGACCGGACGGTGATGATGACGACATCCAAGATGGCCGACCGGACGGCGATGACGACATCCAAGATGGCCGACCAGATAGTGATGACGTCGACATCCAAGATGGCCGACCGGACGGTGATGACGACATCCAAGATGGCCGACCGGACGGTGATGACGTCGACATCCAAGATGGCCGACGGGACGGCGATGACGACGACGAGATCCAAGATGGCCGATGGGACAGTGATGACGTCATCCAAGATGGCCGACTCCCTGTCCCCGGACCCGGGGTCCCACGTCCCGGGGTGCTGGGTGCTCAGTCCTCGGCCTTCCGGAACCCGGGACTCGTGGGCCGGGTGCTGGGGTCTCGGTACTCCCAGGGCGCCCGGGGGAGGGTGCTCGTGACTCGGTGCGCCGGGTGGGCGGGGCCCTGGGGGTACTCAGCGCAGTACCGAGAGCGCCGAGGTCTCGTGTCGCCCCCGGGACAGGAAGTCCCGCCCCCGGCGCCCCCGGGACAGGAAGTCCCGCCCCCGGCGCCCCCCGGGACAGGAAGTCGCCCCCCCGGGGACAGGAAGTCCCGCCCCGCCATGACCGACACCCCCCCCACCCCCCGCCCCGCCCCGCAGTGCTCCCCCCGCAGCCCGACCGCGTGGCCATCGTGACGGGCGGGACGGACGGCATCGGGCTCGCCACGGCGCGGCAGCTGGCGCGGCTCGGCATGCGCGTGGTCATAGGTCAGCGGGGGGTCGGAGGTCAAGGGGCGGGTGGGCGGGGCGTCAGGGGTCAGGTCGGGGTCGGTGGGTCGGGAGGCGGGGCGTGGGGGTCAGGGTCAGGGGGCGGGGTCAAAGGGCGGGGGCGGAGCTTGGGGGTCAGGGGGCGGGGTCCCGGGAGGACCCCCCCCCCCCCCCCGACGTCGGCCATCTCTGTTTTCCAGCCGGGAACAACGCGGACAAGGCCCGGGACGTCGTGCGCAGCATCAGGGCGGAGACCGGGAACGAGAAGGGTGAGCGGGGCGGGGGGGGGTGGGTGCGGGGTGCTGGGTGCTGGGTGATCAGTTCTGGGTGCTGGGTGCTCGGTACTGGGTGCTGGGTGCTCGGTATTGGGTGCTGGGTGGGTGCTTGGTGCTGGGTACTCGGTACTGGGTGCTGGGTGCTCAGTGCTGGGTGCTCTGACCATGCTCGGTGCTGGGTGCTGATTACCAGGTGCTGGGTGCTGGGTGCTCATTACTGGGTCCTAGGCACTCTGTCCACAGCGCTTGGTGCTCAGTGCTTAGTGCTTGTTTGGTGCTCAGTGATTGGTGCTGGGCGCCCGGTAAGCACGGTACTGGTGACTCAGTCCTTAGCCGGCGTGGGTCCAGTGCCCGTGACACAGTACTGAGCGTGCTGGGCCCTGAGTCCTGACGCTCGGTGGGTAGAGTGCTGGGGACTCAGTACTTAGATGCTGGGGACTCAGTACTTACTTGGTTGGCCGAGTGCTTGGGACCTGGTACTTGGGTGCTGGTGACCGAGTACTCTGTGACCTCAGTCCCCCGTCTGGGTCGGGCGCCGAGGACCTGGTCCCTTGGGCGCTGGGTGCCTGGTGCCCCGGGTGCTGCTGACCGGGTACTCCCCCCCCGGCCCCGCCCCCCCCCGCCGCAGTGGACTTCCTGTTCCTGGACCTGGCCTCCCTGGCCTCCGTCCGGGCGTTCGCGCGCGACTTCCTGTCCCTGGGGTTCCCGCTGCACGTGCTGGTCAACAACGGTGAGCGCGGGGGGGCGGGGCCGGGGTATGCAAATGAGGGGCGGGGCGGGGCCTGGTGTGGGGGCGGGGCCGGGGTATGCAAATGAGGGGCGGGGGGCTGGCGTGGGGTCCCATCTGCATAATCAAATCGTGGTTGGGTATGCAAATGAGGACCTGGGAACCATCAGCATATGCAAATTAGGTCGGGTATGCAAATGAGGACCCGGGAACCATCTGCATATGCAAATCGGGTGCAGATATGCAAATGAGGGCCCGGGAACCATCTGCATATGCAAATCAGCTGCAAACATGGAAATGAGGGCTGGGGCGGGGACTGGTGTGGGGGCGGGGCCGGGCATGCAAATGAGGGCCGGGGCCGGGCATGCAAATGAGGGCCGGGGTCGGGCATGCAAATGAGGACCTGGGTCCCATCTGCATATGCAAATTGGGTGCGAATGTGCAAATGAGGGACGGGAGCTGGTGCGGGGTCCCATCGGCATATGCAAATCAGGCCGGGTATGCAAATGAGGGCCGGGTTAGTGGGGTCTATCTGCGTATGCAAATTGGGTGCAGATATGCAAATGAGGGCCGGGGGAGTGGGGCTGGTGCGGGGACCCATCGACATATGCAAATCGGCTCAGGTATGCAAATGAGCGGCCCTGCGGGCCTCATGCATATGCAAAACGAAGCGGGGCGGTCCGGGCGGGCCGCTCATTTGCATATGCAAATCCTGCGGTCATGAGGCCTGTGTCAGTATGCAAACGAGCGGCGAATATTCATCACGCCCGGAGCTCATTTGCATAGCGGCCCCGGGGCCGGGAGAGGGTCTGGGTGGGCGGGGTTCCCAGGGGGACCTCATTTGCATATGCAAAGCCGCGTGGGTGAGGCTGGCGCTCATTTGCATAGGGGGCCGGGCCTCCCGGGTATGCAAATGAGCCGGCAGGGGAGCCGCAGCCCAGTCCTGTTTCCATATGCAAACGAGCCGCGCATATGCATGAGGCCGGAGCTCATTTGCATAGGGGCCCGGCGAGTGCCTGGGTGGGCGGGGCCTGGCAGAGGGCGGGTCCCCGGGCTCATTAGCATATGCAAATCCCGGCGCCACAGCGGTGGGAGCCCCACCGAGACGGGGCCTCCTCATGAATATGGAGATTGGGGGCGGGGCCGCCCGCCCGGCTCATTTGCATAGGGGGATCCATCGCGATTGGGCCCCCGACCTTGGCTCCTCCCCCCGGGGAGTCTGAGTGACGGCCGGGCCCCGTGTCCCGGGCCCCGCCCCCCCGCCCGTATCCACTTCCTGTCCCCCCCCCCGCTGTGTCCCCGCCCCCCCATGCCCGTGTCCACTTCCCGTCCCCCCACCTCCGTGTCCCCGTCCCCGTGTCCACTTCCCGTCCCCGCCCCCCCCGTGACCACTTCCTGTCCCCTCCCCCCGCCGCGGCCCCGCCCCCCCCCGTGACCACTTCCTGTCCCCGCCCCCCCCCGTGACCACTTCCCGTCCCGGCAGCGGGCGTGATGCTGGCGCCCCGCGGGTCGAGGACGGCGGACGGGTTCGAGCGGCACCTGGGCGTGAACTTCCTGGGCCACTTCCTGCTGACGCGGCTGCTGCTGGGCGCGCTGCGGGCGGCGGGGGTCGCGGGGGTCGGCGGGCGCGCGTCGTCTGCCTGGGCTCCGCCACCCACTACGTCGGGGCGCTGGACCCCGGCGCGCTGGGCCGCGGGTGAGGGGGCGGGGCCCCGGGTGAGGGGGCGGGGCCGCGGGGGGCGGGGGGACCCGGACAGGAAGTGGGGGGGCGGGACGGGAAGTGGGTTAGGAGAGAACAGGAAGTGGGTGGGAACGAGACAGGAAGTGAGCGGGCGGGAAGTGAGTCGGGGGGTCGGGAAGTGGGTCCGGGGAGCACAGGAAGTGGGTAAGGAACCAGACGGGAAGTGAGCGGGCGGGACAGGAAGTGGTGGAGACCGGAAGTGGGTTAAGAGAGGACAGGAAGCGAGTCAGTGGGACAGGAAGTGGGTCCGGGGAGCACAGGAAGTGGGTTGGAGGGGCGGGAAGTGGATGGCCACGAGACAGGAAGTGGGTGGGCGAGACAGGAAGTGCCTCAGCGGGAACCGGGAGTGGGTGGAAGTGGACAGGAAGTGAGTTGGAGGGACAGGAAGTACTGAAGTAAGGGCAGGAAGTGGGCGTTCAGGACAGGAAGTGAATAAACCAAGACTGGAAGTGGTGAACAGGGACCCGGAAGTGGAGTGGGATTGGACAGGAAGTGGGTTGGACAGACAGGAAGCGCCGAAGGAGGGACAGGAAGTGGGTGTTTAGGACAGGAAGTGAATAAATGAAGCCCGGAAGTGGTGAACAGGGACCCGGAAGTGGGTGAAATTTGACAGGAAGTGAGTGGGAGGGACAGGAAGTGCCGAAGTAGAGACAGGAAGTGGGCGTTCAGGACAGGAAGTGAACAAACCAAGACCGGAAGTGGTGAACAGGGACCCGGAAGTGGAGTGGGATTGGACAGGAAGTGGGTTGGACAGACAGGAAGTGCCGAAGGAGGGACAGGAAGTGGGTGTTTAGGACAGGAAGTGAATAAACGAAGCCCGGAAGTGGTGAACAGGGACCCGGAAGTGGGTGAAATTTGACAAGAAGTGGGCTGGAGAGACAGGAAGTGCCGAAGGAGGGACAGGAAGTGGGTGTTTGGAACAGGAAGTGATTAAACAAAGCCTGGAAGTGGTGAACAGGGACCCGGAAGTGGGTTGGGATTGGACAGGAAGCGGGTTGGACAGACAGGAAGCACCGAAGGAGGGACAGGAAGTGGGTGGTACTGGACAGGAAGTGGGCGGGCGGGGCCGGGCTGGGCGGGTCTGACCGCAGGCCGCCCCGCCCCGCCCCCCCGCAGCCCGGCCGCCGCCGAGTCGCCCCACGCGGCCTACGCGCGCAGCAAGCTGGCCCTGGTCGTCTTCTCGCGGCGGCTGCAGCGGCTCCTGTCGGCGCGCGGCGACCCCGTCACGGCCAACGTGGCCGACCCCGGCGTGGTGGACACGGCGCTCTTCCGCCGCGCGGGCTGGCCCGCCCGGGCCCTGCAGCGGGCGCTCGGGTGGCTGCTCTTCAAGGTGGGTGCTGACTGCGCGCGCGGGCGCGGCTGGGCGCGGCGGGGGGCGGGGGGGGGGGGGGGGGTGGGGGGGGGTGGGGTGTCTGCCCGGGTGCCGTGACTCGGTTTCCCCGTGCGGAGTCACGAGGGCTGAGCGCGTGGTCACGAGTACTGAGCACACGACGCTGAGTACTGAGCACATGATGGTGAGTACTGACTCACCACGAGTACCGAGCGCTGAGTACTGACTCCTCATCACAAGTGCCGAGCACACGATGCTGAGTACTGACCCATGATGAGTACTGAGCGCACGACCCCGAGTACTGAGCACACGACGCCGAGTACTGACTCAGCACGAGCGCCGAGCACTGACCCCGCCCCCGCCCCCCCCCCGCCCCCCGCAGACCCCCGAGGAGGGCGCCTGGACGCCGGTGCTGGCGGCGGCCGCCCCCGCGCTGGAGGGGGTCGGGGGCCGCTACCTGCTGCACGAGGCCTTCGCGGAGCCGCTGGCCGCCTCGCGGGACCCGGGGCTGCAGGACCGGCTGTGGGCCGAGAGCTGCCGCCTCACGGGCGCCGACCCCGGGGAAGGGGGGGGCGGGGGGGGCGGGGACCCGGGGCCGGGGGGCCGCCAATAAAGGACGACTGAGCGCCAGCACCCGGGGCGCGGCGTCGCGTGTGAGTTTGTGGTGGGGGTCGGGGGGGGGGGGGAGGGTGGGGCGGGCGTGACGTCCCCCGGGGGGTCACGCGGGGTCACGTGGGGGTCACGCAGGGTCACACGATGATGTCACCCAGGGTCATAAGGGGTCAGGTGGGGCCACAGAAGGTCACGCGGGGTCACACAGGGTCAAATCTGGTCACACTCTGGGGTCACACAGGGTCAGGTGAGGTCACACGGGGTCACATGACGTCACATGGGGGTCAGTTGGGGGTCACAGGGGGTTCATGGAGTCACATGATGTCATACAGGGTCATAAGGGGTCACGCGGGGTCACAGGGGGTCACAGAAGGTCATGCGGGGTCACACAGGGTCAGTGGGGGTCACACGGGGTCCCGTGGGGTAACAGGGTCATGTAACAGCAAACGGGGTCACAGAAGGTCACACAGGCATCGCCTGGGGTCACACGGGGTCGCATGAGGTCACACGGGGTCACACGGGGGTCACAACGGGCCACATGATGTCATACAGGGTCACATGATGTCACTTGGGGTCACGTGAGGTCAAATCGGGTCACGAGGGGTCACAGTGGGGTCAAAGGGGGGTCATGGACTCACACGGTGTCATACAGGGTCAGAGGGGGTCACGGGGTCCTGGTGGGGTCACGTGGGGTCACTCAGGGTCATGTGAGGTCTCACGGGGTCGCGTGAGGTCAAACGGGGTCACAGGGTCACAAGCATCCCCTGAGGTCACCCAGGGTCACACTGTGGGGGTCACATGATGTCACACGGGGTCAGGAGAGGTCACAGGGTCACACGGGGTCTCGGGTCCCACGGGGTCGCGTGCGGGCCACATGAGGCCACGCAGGGTCAAATCAGGGCACGCGGGGTCACACGGCGTCATGTGAGGTCACACACGGGGTCGCATGGGGGTCAGACGGGGTCACAGAAGGTCACATGGGTCCACAAAAGGTCATACGGGGGTCGCATGAAGTCACACGGGGGTAATGTGAGGTCACACGGGGTCACACAGGTCACATGGGGTCACACAGGGTCATGTGAGGTCACGCAGGGGTCACGTGAGGTCACACGGGGTCACAAATGAGGTCGCCGGGGGGTCACCGAGCCAGCGCTTCCTTTATTCCCGCCCCCTCTCCGCCCCGCCCCCTCTGCCCCGCCCGGCCCCGCCCCCCCACGGCGTCACTTCCGGGCCAGCATGACGTCGTAGGCGCCCCCCGTGCGGCGGCAGCGGAAGCGCGGGAACCCGGCGCGGGCGCAGAGCTCGCGGGGTACTGGCGCTCGCGTCCTCTCGCGGCCGCCGCCCGTCTGCACCAGCACGTTCAGCGACAGCAGCAGCGCGGGCAGCGGGCCGCGGCCCGCCCGGCGCCAGCAGGGCCTCCACCACCAAGACGGCGGCGCCTGGGGGGGGGGGCGCGGGCCTCGGTTTACCCCCGTGTGACTCGGTTTCCCCCCCGTGTGACTCGGTTTCCCCCCGTGGGACTCGGTTTCCCCCCCGTGTGACTCAGTTTCCCCACCCAGGGCCTCGGTTTCCCCCTCAGTTTCTCCCCCAGGGCCTCAGTTTCCCCCTCAGGGCCTCGGTTTCCTCCCCCCAGGGCCTCAGTTTCCCCCCCAGGGCCTCAGTTTCCCCCCGTGTGACTCAGTTTCCCCCCGTGTGACTCAGTTTCCCCCTGTGTGACTCGGTTTCCCCCCGTGTGACTCGGTTTCCCCCCGTGTGACTCGGTTTCCCCCCCCAGGGCCTCAGTTTCCCCCCAGGGCCTCAGTTTCCCCCCCGTGTGACTCACTTTCCCCCCCCCCGTGACTCAGTTTCCCCTCGTGACCCCTCCCCGACCCCCCGGTGACCCCCCGGCGACCCCCCCGCGGCCCCCACCTGGCCCCCCGGCCGCCCGGATCCGGCCCAGCAGCCGCGCGCAGGCCTCGTCCGGCCAGTCGTGCAGGACGCGCGCCAGGATGTAGAGGTCGGCCGCGGGGAGGCGGGACCGGAAGAAGTCGCCTGGGGGGGTCACGGGGGTCACGGGGGGTCTGGGGTCACGGGTTTCCCCCTCAGTTTCCCCCCCAGGGCCTCAGTTTCCCCCCAGGGACTCAGTTTCCCCCCAGGGCCTCAGTTTCCCCCCCAGGGCCTCAGTTGTGGGAGGTCACAGGGGTCACAGGGGGGTCAGGGGGCGTCACGGGGGTCGCGCCTGCCTCGGTTTCCCCCGCCCGGGACGCCTGTGCCTGGTGAGGCTGGGGAGGGGAGGTGGGCGGGGCCATGACGGGGTGGGCGGGGCCCGGGGTGGGGTGGGCGGGGCCCTAGGTGGGGCGGGTTGGGTCTGGGGATGGGTGGGCGGGGCCTTCAGGGAGTGGGCGGGGTCAGGAGGCGGTGGGCGGGGCCTGGGTCGAGTGGGCGTGGTCGGTGGGCGGAGCCAGAGAGGACGGAACCAGAAAAGTGGGCGGGGCCCTGGGTGGTGGGCGGGGTCGGGGGCGTGTCCCGGGGTCGAGGGCGTGCCCCGGGTTGGTGGGCGGGGTCAGGGGGCGTGTCCCGGGGCCGGGGGGCGTGTCCCAGGGTGATGGGCGGGGTCGGGGGCGTGTCCCGGGTGATGGGCGGGGTCGGGGGCGTGTCCCGGGGCGGTGGGCGGGGTCGGGGGCGTGTCCCGGGGTGGTGGGCGGGGTCGGGGGCGGGTCCCGGGGTGATGGGCGGGGGCCGGGGGGCGTGTCCCGGGGTCGGGGGCGTGTTCCGGGGTCGGGGGGCGTGTCCCGGGGTGGTGGGCGGGGCCGGGGGGCGTGTCCCGGTGTCGGGGGCGTGTCCCGGGGTCGGGGGCGTGTCCCGGGGTGGAGGGCGGGGCCGGGGGCGTGTCCCGGGGTCGGGGGCGTGTCCCGGGGGTGGTGGGCGGGGTCGGGGGGCGTGTCCCGGGGTCGGTGGGCGTGTCCCGGGGTCGGGGGCGTGTCCCGGGGTGCTGGGCGGGGCCGGGGGGCGTGTCCCGGGATGATGGGCGGGGCCGGGGGCGTGTCCCGGGGTGGTGGGCGGGGGTCGGGGGCGTGTCCCGGGGTCGGGGGCGTGTCCCGGGGTCGGGGGCGTGTCCCGGGGGTCGGGGGGCGTGTCCCGGGGTCGGGGGCGTGTCCCGGGGTCGGGGGCGTGTCCCGGGGGTGGTGGGCGGGGCCGGGGGCGCGTGTCCCGGTGTCGGGGGCGTGTCCCGGGGTCGGGGGCGTGTCCCGGGGGTGGTGGGCGGGGTCGGGGGGCGTGTCCCGGGGTCGGGGGCGTGTCCCGGGGTGGTGGGTGGGGTCAGGGCCGTGTCCCGGGGTCGGGGGGCGTGTCCCGGGGCGGGTGGGCGGGGTCGGGGGGCGTGTCCCCGGGGTCGGGGGGCGTGTCCCGGGGCGGTGGGCGGGGCCGGGGGGCGTGTCCCGGGGCGATGGGCGGGGGTCGGGGGCGTGTCCCGGGGCCGGGGGCGTGTCCCGGGGTCGGGGGCGTGTCCCGGGGTGGTGGGCGGGGTCGGGGCGTGTCCCGGGGTGATGGGCGGGGTCGGGGGCGTGTCCCGGGGGTCGGGGGCGTGTCCCGGGGTCGTGGGCGTGTCCCGGGGCGGTGGGCGGGGGTCGGGGGGCGTGTCCCGGGGTCGGGGGCGTGTCCCGGGGCGGTGGGCGTGTCCCGGGGTCGGGGGCGTGTCCCGGGGAGGTGGGCGGGGTCGGGGGCGTGTCCCGGGGTGATGGGCGGGGTCGGGGGCGTGTCCCGGGGTCGGGGGCGTGTCCCCGGGGTCGGGTGGGCGTGTCCCGGGGTCGGGGGCGTGTCCCGGGGTCGGGGGCGTGTCCCGGGGCGGTGGGCGTGTCCCGGGGTCGGGGGCGTGTCCCGGGGCGATGGGCGGGGTCGGGGGCGTGTCCCGGGGTCGGGGGCGTGTCCCGGGGTCGGGGGGCGTGTCCCGGGGTCGGGGGCGTGTCCCGGGGCGGTGGGCGTGTCCCGGGGGTCGGGGGGCGTGTCCCGGGGTGGTGGGCGGGGGCCGGGGGCGTGTCCCGGGGTCGGGGGGCGGGTCCCGGGGTCGGGGGGCGTGTCCCGGGGTCGGGGGCGTGTCCCGGGGGGTCGGGGGCGTGTCCCGGGGTGGTGGGCGGGGTCGGGGGGCGTGTCCCAGGGTCGGGGGGCGGGTCCCGGGGTCGGGGGGCGTGTCCCGGGTGGTGGGCGGGGCCGGGGGGCGGGTCCCGGGGTTGTGGGCGGGGGCCGGGGGCGTGTCCCGGGGTCGGGGGCGGGTCCCGGGGTCGGGGGCGTGTCCCGGGGCGGAGGGCGGGGCCGAGGCCGGGGTCAGGGGTCGGGGGTCGCGCCCCCGTCTCACCCGCGCAGAGGCGGGCGGGGCCCGGCGGGAAGTGCGCGCGCGCGGCGGCCACGACGCCCGGGGTCTCGAAGACGCAGACGGCGCTGCCGGGGTAGAGGCGGGCGCAGGCCGCGGCCAGGGCGCCCGAGCCGCCTGGGGGGGGCAGGGGGGGGGAGGACTCAGCGCAGCACCCGGGGGGGGACTCGGCACAGCACCCGGGGAGGACTCAGCACAGCACCCGGGGGGACTCAGCACAGCACCCGGGGGGACTCAGCACAGCACCCGGGGAAGGGACTTGGCACAGCACTGACACGGGGACTCAGCGCAGCACGCGGGGAAGGGACTTGGCACAGCACTGACACGGGGACTCAGCGCAGCACTCGGGAGGACTCAGCACAGCACCCGGGGGGACTCAGCACAGCACCCGGGGAAGGGACTCGGCGCAGCACCCGGGGGGGGACTCGGCACAGCACTGACACATGCACTCAGAACAGCACTCAGGAGGACTCAGGAGAACCCAGTCCAGCACTGGGGTTGATTCAGGGGGACTCAGCCCAGCACTGACACATGGACTCAGAACAGCACTCAGGAGGACTCAGCACAGCAACCACCAGGGGCGACTCGGCAATCAGCACCCAGCCGGGGGGACTCAGCGCAGCACCCGGGGAAGGGACTCGGCACAGCACTCAGGAGGACTCAGCCCAGCACTCAGGAGGACTCAGCACAGCACTCAGGAGGACTCAGCGCAGCACCCAGGAGGAGCCGAGCACCCAGCACCCCCCGTCCCCGCCCCTCCCCGGGCCCCCGGGCCTCACCGCCCACGTCGCAGATGACCCGGAAGGGCGAGAGGTCGAAGGCCGCCAGGACCCGCCCCCCCGCTCACGCGCCACGTGTCCTGCAGGGCGCGCATGAAGGACAGGCGCTCCGCCTCCGACCTGGGGGGGGGGGTCGCGGGGTCACGGGGGCGCGGGGTCACGGGGGGGCGGGGTCACGGGGTCGCGGGGGGGGGGGGACGATCGGCGACGTGGGTGCTGCGCACAGTACTGCTGAGCCCGCGCACGGTGGGCGGGCAGGGGCCGAGGGGTGGGCGGGGCATCCCGGGGTGGGCGTGTCCCCCGGGTCGGGGGGGGGGGAAGGGAGTGGGCGGGGCCTCCGGGGGACCGTTGGGCGGGGCTTTGAGGCCTGGGCGGGGCTTCGGGGCCTGGGCGGGGCTCCCTGGGGTGGGTGGGGCCTCCAGGGACCATTGGGCGGGGCTTCGGGGCCTGGGCGGGGCTTCAGGGCCTGGGCGGGGGCTTCGGGGCCTGGGCGGGGCTTCCCGGGGTGGGAGGTGCTTCCTGGGGCAGCGGGAGGGGCCTCCCGGGCCAGTGGGCGGGGCTTCGGGGCCTGGGCGGAGCCCCCCGGGGTGGACGGGGCCTCCTAGGACCAGTGGGCGGGGCCACAGGAAGGACTATTCCCCGCGGGGTGGGCGTGGCTGCCCGGGGAGGGCGGGGCTGAAGGGGGTGGGCGTGTCCCCGGGTTTCAGTGTGCCTTGAGGGAGTGGGCGGGGCCAACGGGGTGGGCGGGGCCACAGGAATGACTCTTCCCCGCGGGGTGGGCGGGGCTGGCTGGGGTGGGCGTGTCCCCGGGTTTCAGTGTGCCTTGAGGGAGGTGGGCGGGGCCAACGGGGTGGGCGGAGCCTCCTGTGAGCAGCGGGCGGGGCCACAGGAAGGACTCTTCCCCGCGGGGTGGGCGGGGCTGGCTGGGGTGGGCGGGTCTGTCGGGTGGGCGGGGCTGGCTGGTGTGGGGCGTGGCCCCAGGGCTTAGGTGGGATTTGACGAAGTGGGCGGGGCTGGCAGGGGTGGGCGTGGCCTCCAGGGCCAGTGGGCGGGGCTGGCTGGGGTGGGCGTGTCCCCGGGGCTTAGGTGTGGTGTGAGGGAGTGGGCGGGGCCTCCGGGTGGGCGGGGCCTCCGGGGACCAGCGGGCGGGGCCACAGGAAGGACTATTTCCCTGGAGGGTGGGCGTGGCTTGCAGGGGTGGGCGTGGCCTCCGGGGCCGGTGGGCGGGGCCCCTGGGCTTGTTCTGGTGAGCGGGGGGTGGGCGTGGCTTCGGGGGGACGGTGGGCGGGGCCTCCCGGGAGCTGGGGGCGGCTGGGGGCGGGGCTAGCCGGGGCGGGCGTGTCCCCGCGGGGTGGGCGTGGCCTCCCGACCTGTAGATGGCGGCGAAGGGCTCGTAGGTGACGTCATCGTCCTCGTCCTGGCCGTCGCCCGGGGGACGCAGGCTCCGCCCCCCCCCTGCCGTGAGTGACGGGCCCGGGGCGGCGACGTCATCGGGGGGAGAGAAACGGGTCGGGGGGGGGGAGGATGACGTCGTGGGGCTCGGGGCCCCGCCCACCGCCCGCCAGGCCCCGCCCACTAGGGAAGCGGGACGACGTCGTGCGCGGCCCCGCCCTCCGCCCTGCAGGCCCCGCCCGCCGCCCCGGGCCCTCGGAGGCCACGCCCACTCAGCGCAGGCCCCGCCCACACACCCCAGAGGACCCAACCAGGCCCGCAGGCCCCGCCCCCCGGCCCCGTCACTCACCCCCAGGCCCCGCCCACACACCCCACGCTCACCGCCCAGGCCCCGCCCACAACCCTTGGGCCCCGCCCACCTACTCCAAACCCCTCCACCGGCCCCAGGCCCCGCCCCCCCGGCCCCCGTCGCTCACCGCAGGGCCCCGCCCAGCCCCGCCCAGGCCCCGTAGGCCGCCGCCCCCGACCCCAGGCCCCGCCCCCCGACCCCAGGCCCCGCCCCCGACCCCAGGCCCCGCCCCCGACCCCAGGCCCCGCCCCCCGGCCCCCGCCACTCACCGCAGGGCCCCGCCCAGCCCCGCCCAGGCCCCGTAGGCCGCCGCCCCCCGACCCCGGGCCCCGCCCCCCGACCCCAGGCCCCGCCCCCCGACCCCAGGCCCCGCCCCCCGGCCCCCGTCACTCACCGCAGGGCCCCCGCCCAGCCCCGCCCAGGCCCCGTAGGCCGCCGCCCCCCCGACCCCAGGCCCCGCCCCCGACCTCAGGCCCCGCCCCCGACCCCAGGCCCCGCCCCTGGGCCCCGTCACTCACCGCAGGGCCCCGCCCAGCCCCGCCCAGGCCCCGTAGGCCGCCGCCCCCCGACCCCAGGCCCCGCCCCCGGCCCCCGTCACTCACCGCAGGGCCCCGCCCAGCCCCGCCCCCGACCCCAGGCCCCGCCCCCCGGGCCCCCGTCACTCACCACAGGGCCCCGCCCAGCCCCGCCCAGGCCCCGTAGGCCGCCGCCCCCCAGGTAGAGCAGCATCGCGCGCTGGGGACCGGGCGCCGCCCGCCAGGAGGAGCTCGCGGGAGGGCGGGGCCAGCGCGTACGCGCCTGCGCGGGGGGGCGGGGTCAGTCGGGGACACGCCCACCAGGACCCGCCCATCCGTCCATCAACCATCCCCACGGTGACATCGCCCTATTGAGCTCCGTCATGGGTGCTGGTCGGGTCGCGCTCAGTCAATCTGGCTGATTGACGGGCGGGGCACCCCACCCTCCCCCGACCCCCGCGGTGACGTCACCTCCCGAGCCTGTCCGTCAACCAACCCCGTGACGTCACCCGGGCAGTGCTGGGGGCCGTAGAACTTGGTCATGGGTACTGGTCGGTCGTGCTCAGTCCCTCACGTGATTGACAGACAGGCGGCCCCCGCCCTCCCCCCCGGTGGCCCCGCCCCCAGACGCGATGACGTCACCCACCCCCCGCTAACTGTCCATCATCCGAGACCCCGTCACGTCCCCCCCGGAGCGCCGGGTGCTCGTGCACAGTCCTCCCCGTGTCCCCGGGACCCCCGCCCGGTGGCCCCGCCTCCACGTGTGATGACGTCACCCCCCGACTGTCCATCATTTGAGACCCCGCCCCCGCCCTCCCCGGGTGCTCACGCACAGTCCTCCGACCCCCCGACCCCGCCCCCCGCCCCCCCCGGGTGCTCACGCACAGTCCTCCTCCGCCGGCGCCTCCTCCCGCCTCTGCAGCAGCCGCAGCCCCGCGCAGGCGTCCAGCAGCAGCCGCGCCCCGCGGGGACTGAGTCCCAGCACCCGGGCCACCGAGGCCGCGTCCAGGGGCCCCGCGGCCAGCGCCTCGAAGACGCCGAGGTCGCAGGCCGTGAACAGGACCTGCGCGGGGGGGCCGGGGGGGGGTACTGAGCACCCGGTGCTGGGTGGACCGAGCATCCAGTACCCAGCACCGGGTGGACTGAGCCGTCAGCACTGTGTGTACTGAGCATCCAGCACCCAACATCCAGCACTGTGTGTACTGAGCACCCAGCAGTCTATGCACTGAGTTCCCAGCACCCTAAGCACTGAGCACCTAGCACCCTAATGACTGAGCACCCAGCACCGCCCCCACTGCGACCCCAGCACTCCACCCAAAGCCCCCAAGACTGCGTACTGAGCACCCCCAGCCCCCCATCCACCCAGCACCCAGCACTCTCTGTACTGAGCAGCCAGGCCTGTATGTACTGAGCTCCCAGCACTCTACATACTGAGCACTAATGACTGAGCATCCAGTACTCCATGTACTGAGTTCCCAGCACCCTAAACACTGAGCACCCAGCCCTGTACATACTGAGCACCCAGCACTCTCCCCACTGAGCACCCAGCCCTGTGTGTACTGAGCTCCCAGCACCCTCTGAGCCCCAGCACTCTACATACTGAGCCCTAATGACTGAGCACCCAGCCCTGTGCGTACTGAGCACCCAGCACTCTATGCACTGAGTTCCCAGAACCCTCAGCCCCGAGCACCCAGCACCAGCACCCTAATGACTGAGCTCCAGCACCCTAGTGACTCAGCACCCAGCCCTGTACGTACTGAGCCTCCAGCACTGTGTGTACTGAGCCTCCAGCACTGTATGTACTGAGTTCCCAGCACCCTCAGCCCCGAGCACCCAGCACCCTAATGACTGAGCTCCAGCCCTGTATGTACTGAGCATCCAGCACTGTATGCACTGAGTTCCCAGCACCCTCAGCCCCGAGCACCCAGCACCCTAATGACTGAGCTCCAGCACCCTAGTGACTCAGCACCCAGCCCTGTACGTACTGAGCATCCAGCACTGTACATACTGAGTTCCCAGCACTCTATGCACTGAGTTCCCAGCACCCTAAGCACCGAGCACCCAGCACCCTAATGACTGAGCTCCAGCCCTGTACGTACTGAGTTCCCAGCACCCTATGCACTGAGTTCCCAGCACCCTAAGCACCGAGCACCCAGCACCCTAATGACTGACTGAGCTCCAGCCCTGTATGTACTGAGCGTCCAGCACTCCATGTACTGAGCCTCCAGCACTGTATGTACTCAGTTCCCAGCACCCTCAGCCCCGAGCACCCAGCACCCTCAGAGTGACTGAGCCCCAGCACCCTAGTGACTCAGCACCTAGTCCTGTACGTACTGAGCACCCAGCCCTGTATGTACTGAGCATCCAGCACCCTAAGCACCGAGCACCCAGCACCCTAGTGACTGAGCACCCTAGTGACTCAGCACCCAGCCCTGTATGTACTGAGCCTCCAGCACTCTATGCACTGAGCATCCAGCACCCTAAGCACCGAGCACCCAGCACCCTAGTGACTGAGCACCCTAGTGACTCAGCACCCAGCCCTGTATGTACTGAGCCTCCAGCACTCTATGCACTGAGCATCCAGCACCCTAAGCACCGAGCACCCAGCACCCTAAGCACCGAGCACCCAGCACCCTAAGCACCGAGCACCCAGCACCCTCAGAGAGACCGAGCCCCCAGCACCCGCCCGCCCCACCTGGGACCCCATGAACCCGTGCGCCAGGTCCATGAGGCGGCGGAAGTCGGCGTCCTCGGGGTCCGGGGCGGCGGCCATCTTGTCACTCCCCGGCGGCCCTGAGGACTGAGTCCCAGCACCCGGGCTTTAAAGGCTGAGCGGGGGGGGGGGGCGGGGGGGGATCCCCGCGGGGCCGTCAGCGGCTGAGCCGGATCAGGCGGGGGGCGGGGCCGGGGGGGCACTTCCGGTTCCCAGGGAACTGAGCGCCCAGCACCCGGGGCTGAGCACTGAGCCCCAGGGACTGAGCACCGAGCACCCAGGCTGAGCACTGAGCTCCCAGACTAAGCACTGAGCTCCCAGACAGTACTGAGCTCCCAGAATGAGTACTGAGCACCCAGACTGAGCATTGAGCACCCAGGCTGAGGACGGAGCCCCAGGGACTGAGTACTGAGCACCCACGCTGAGTACTGAGCACCAATGCTGAGCACTGAGCCCAAGGGACTGAGCACTGAGCACCCAGACTGACCACCGAGCACCTAGGCTGAGTACTGAGCACCCAGGCTGAGCACCGAGCACCCAGGCTGAGCACTGAGCCCCAGGGACTGAGCACCCAGCACCCAGACTAAGCACCGAGCACCCAGGCTGAGCACTGAGCACCCAGGACTGAGCACCGAGCACCCAGGGACTGAGTACTGAGCACCCAGGGCTGAGTACCGAGCACCCAGGGACTGAGTACTGAGCACCCAGAGGCACCACCCGCCCCGAGCTCCTCATGCGCCCCCCCCCCCCCCCCGCGGGGCCCTAATCCGGTTCGATCCGGTTCTGATCCGGCTTAAGCCGCCCGGGCCTGACGCAGGCGCCCCGCCCCCCCCCCCACCCCGGGGCTGACGTCAGGGCGGGTCGCGGGGTCACGGGGTCACCGCGGGGGCGGGTCACGTGTCCAGGGGACCCCGGGGCGACCCCACGCGACCCCGCGCGACCCCGCGTGACCCCGCCGCAGGGCGCCGCCCGATGTCGGGCGCCGTCGGGTGCTGCGCACAGTGATCCAAGAATTCGTGACCGACCCCCCCCCCCCCCCCGGGCCCCAGGTGCTGACACGGGACATCCTGATATCTGGTGCCATTGGGTGCTGTGCACAGTGATCCCAGAAAACGTGACACCCCCCCCGAAGGCCCACGTGGGACACAAGATCCTGATCTTGGGTGTCATTGGGTGCTGCGCACAGTGATCTCAGGAGACGACACACCACGGTGCCCAGGGCTGATACGCGATGATCCACCTGTCGGGTGTCATGGGGTGCTGTGCACAGTGATCCCAGGATATGTGACACTCCGGGGCCCACGTGATGCATGAGCCCCTGATATCGGGTGCTGCCGGGTGCTGTGCACAGTGATGCCAGGAGACGTGACCCCCCCCCCCGGGGCCCACGTGGGACACGTGAGATCCCGATATCGGGTGTCGCTGAGTGCTGCGCACAGTGATCTCAGAAAACGCGACCCCCCCTGACACCCAGGTGTAACACGCGAGATCCCGATATCAGGTGTCTTCGGGTGCTGTGCACAGTGATCCCAGGAAACGTTACCTCCCCCCTTGGGGCCCACATGAGACACGCGAGATCCTGATATCAGGTGCCGTTGGGTGCTGCGCACAGTGATCCAAGAATTTGTGACCACCCCTGGGCCCCAGGTGCTGACACGCGAGATCCCAATATCAGGTGCTGTTGGGTGCTGCGCACAGTGATCCCAGGAAGCGTGACCCACCCCCGGGGCCCACGTGGTGCATGAGACCCCGATATTGGGTGCTGCCGGGTGCTGCGCACAGTGATGCCAGGAAACCGTGACCCCCCACCCCCAGGGCCCAGGGCTGACACGCGAGATCCCGATATCGGGTGTTGTTGGGTGCTGCGCACAGTGATCCAAGAATTTGTGACCGACCCCCCCCGGGACCCAGGTGCTGACACGCGACATCCCGATATCTGGCGCCGTTGGGTGCTGCGCACAGTGATTCCAGAAAACGCGACCCCCACCCCCAGGGCCCAGGGCTGACATGCGAGATCCAGATATTGGGTGTTGTTGGGTGCTGCGCAGAGTCATCCCAGAATTCGTGACCCACCCCGGGCCCCAGGTGCTGCGCACAGTGATCCCATGAAATGTGACCCCCCCAGGGCCCACGTGGGACACGCGAGATCTCAAAATCTAGTATTGTTGGGTGCTGCGCACAGTCATCCCAGGAAGCCTGAACCCCCCCCCCGAGGCCCACGTGTGACACAAGATCCTGATCTTGGCTGTCATTGGGTGCTGCGCACAGTGATCCCAGGAAGCGTGACCCCCCCAGGGCCCACGTGATGCATGAGACCCCGATATCAGGTGCTGCTGGGTGCTGCGCACAGTGATCCCAGGACACGAGACACCACGGGGCCCAGGGCTGATACGCGATGATCCAGCTGTCGGGTGTCATCGGGTGCTGCGCACAGTGACCCCAGGAAACGTGAACCCCCCCAGGGCCCACGTGTGACACGCGAGATCTCAAAATCTAGTGCTGTTGGGTGCTGCGCACAGTCATCCCAGAAACCATGAACCCCCCCCCGAGGCCCACGTGTGACACAAGATCCTGATATCTGGCGCCGTCGGGTGCTGCGCACAGTGATTCCAGGAAACGCGACCCCTCCTGGGGCCCACGCGTGACACGTGAGATCCCAACCTTAGGTGTCGTCAGGTGCTGCGCACAGTGATCCCAGAAACCATGACCCCCCCCCCCCAAGGCCCACGTGGGACACAAGATCCTGATCTTGGGTGTCATCGGGTGCTGCGCACAGTGATCCCAGGAAATGTGACCCCCCCAGAGCCCACGTGATGCATGAGACCCTGACACCGGGCACCATCGGGTGCTGTGCACAGTGATCCAAAAATTTGTGACCCCCCCCGGGCCCCAGGTGCTGACACGCGACATCCCGATACCTGGCGCCGTCGGGTGCTGCGCACAGTGATGCCAGGAAACGCGACCCCCCCAGGGGCCCATGCGTGACACGTGAGATCCCAACCTTGGGTGTCGTCAGGTGCTGCGCACAGTCATCCCAGAAAGGGTGACCCCCCCCAGGGCCCACGTGGTGCATGAGACCCTGACACCGGGCGCCGCCGGGTGCTGCGCACAGTGACCCCAGAGAGACGCTGGCACGCGGGTGTCCGGCCACGGCACGGGGCCTTTATTGTCTCGCGCGGGGACGGCGGGGCGGCATCATCGACCCCGCGTGACCTGGGGCGGGGCGGGGAACGGGGGGGGGGGGAAAAACAATCACCCGCGCGACTCAGTCCCTCGCGGGCGTCACGCGGGTCCACGGGGTCGGGGGTCGGAGGGCGGGGCTTCGGGGGGGGCGGCGGCGTCCCAGCATGCTTTGCGGTGGCGGCTCCGGGGGGGGGGGGGGGGGGGGGGGACCGACTCGCCCGTCACCGGCTCCAGGCGCCGCCGCGGTGCCGCGGGGAGCGGGACCGGGAGCGCGAGGGGTCGCCCCGGCGGTGGCGGCTGCGCCGGCCCTCGCGCCCGCGCTCCTTCTCGCGGCGGCGGTGCCCGCGGCGGCGGTGGGGCCTCCCGGTCGCCGTCGCCGCCACGGTCGCCGCCATCGCCGCCATCACCGTCGGCCCCGGTGTCCTCGAGCCCGTCGCCGGGGCCGCGCGGACTCCGGCGCGGGGGGTCGCGGGGCGGGGACGTCGCCGCGGCGGGCGGGGGCGGCGCCGCGGCGGGGTCATCCGCGGGGTCCTCCGGGGTCGCCCGCGGGGCGGCGCGCCCGGCCCGGGTGACGTGGTGCAGGATGTCGAGCACGGGCCGCAGCAGGTCGTCCGTCATGGCGGCGGCCGCGGGGGCCGAGGCGGCGGCGCCGTCGGGGTCGGGGTCGGCGCCGCCGGGGGTCGGGGGCGTCGCCGGGGTCGCGGGCGGCGCCGGGGTGTCCGGGGGTCGCGGGCCCCCCCCCCCGCCGCCGCGGCCCAGCAGCAGGGCGAGCAGCCGCTGCCGCAGTTCCCGCTCGCGCCGCTGCAGCCCCAGCGCCCGCTCCTTCTCGCGCTCCACGCGCCGCAGCTCGGCCTCCTGCAGCCGGCGCCGCTCCTCCTGCCGCTGCCCGCAGCCGGGCCGCCTGCGGGGGGGGGGTCGGCACAGTCGATGTGGGGTCACGAGGGTCGACTTGAGGCCACCAGGCCGGCGCGGGGCCGTCGTGAGGTCGGGGGGTCGCGCGGTCAACTTTGGGTCGCCAAGGTCAGCGTGAGGTCACGGGGTCAATGCGGGGTTGCGAAGGTCAATGTGAGGTCATGGGGTCAGCGTGGGGTCGTCAAGGTCAACCTGAGGTCACGGGGGCCGTGTGGGGTCATGGGGTAGTCATGTGGGGTCAGTGTGTTGTGGGGCCTTGGGCAGGTCACGGGGTCAACTATGGGTCACCAAGGTCAACATGAGGTCACGGGGTCAATGTGGGGTCACCAAGGTCAACTTCAGGTCACGGGGTCATTACAGGGTCATGGAAGTCAACCTGAGGTCACGGGGGCCGTGCGGGGTCACGGGGTAGTCGTGTGGGGTCAGCGTGTCACGGGGCCTTCGGGAGGTCAGGGGGTCGACACGGGGTCACCAAGGTCAACATGAGGTCACAGGGTCAATGCAGGGTCGTGAAAGTCAATGTGAGGTCACGGGGTCAGCGTGGGGCCATCAAGGTCAACACCAGGTCACGGGGTCACTACGGGGTCACGGAAGTCAACGTGGGGTCCCACAGGTCAACCTGAGGTCACGGGGTCGGGACGAGGTCGCGGACGTCCGCACGGGAACACGGAGGTCCCGCCCACCCCGCCATGACATCACACGACCGATGACGTCATCTCCCTTGACCTGTGACATCACAGTGACCTCGCGTGCCCGCCCCGCCCCCGTGACCCCTGACCCCCCACGACCCCCCCGCGGCCCCGCCCACCTTGGCGCGCGCCAGCAGCTCGGCCACCAGGCGGATGGCCTGCAGCGTGCGCTGGGCCAGCAGCAGCTTCCGCTCCTCCAGCCGCACCCGGGCCTGCAGCCGCCGCTGCTCCTCCTGCGCCGCCCGCGCCGCCCGACGCCGGCTGCGGCGGGACGCGCGCTCCCCGCTGCCGCTGCTCCCGGCGCCGCAGCTTCTCCTCGCGCCGGCGGGGCGCGCTCCTGCTCCTCCAGCTCCTTCTGCTTCCTGGGGGGGGGGCGGGGCGTGACTCGGTTTCCCCCCCCCGGGGCCTCGGTTTCGCCTTCAGTTTCCCCCGTGACTCGGTTTCCCCCCCAGGGGCTCAGTTTCCCTCTCATTTCCTCTCAATTTCCTCCCAGGGCCTCAGTTTGCCCCACAGTTTCCCCCCCAGGGTCTGTTTCCCCCTCAGTTTCCCCCCCAGGGCCTCAGTTTCCCCCTCAGGGCCTCAGTTTCCCCCTCAGGGCCTCAGTTCCCCCCTCAGTTTCCCCCCCCAGGGCCTGGGTTTCCCCCCTGTGCCTCGGTTTCCCCCCCCGTGCCTCAGTTTCCCCCCCGTGCCTCAGTTTCCCCCTCAGTCTCCCCCCCCAGGGCCTCAGTCTCCCCCCCAGGGCCTCAGTTTCCCCCCCAGGGCCTCAGTTTCCCCCCCGGGCCTCAGTTTCCCCCCCCCAGGGCCTCAGTTTTCCCCCCCAGGGCCTCAGTTTCCCCCAGTGTGACTCAGTTTCCCCCCCAGGGCCTCAGTTTCCCCCCCCAGGGCCTCGGTTTCCCCCCCCCGTGCCTCAGTCTCCCCCCCCGTGCCTCAGTCTCCCCCTCGGCCCCCCCCCCGCCCCGCGCACCGCTCCTCGTCCCGCCGCCGCGCCTCGGCCTCCTTCTCGCGCCGCTTCTGCTCCTCGCGCTGCAGCTCCAGCTCCTGCAGCTTCTGCCGCTCCAGCTGCCGCCGCCGGATCGACGCGTCGCTCAGGTGCTTCGTGGCGTCGAAGGTCACCTGCGGGAGGGGGGGGGGGTCGGGGGTCACGCCGGGGGGTCGGGGGTCGGGGGTCACAGGGGGGGGGGTCGGCCGGCCCCGCCCACCGCGCCGCCCGGGTCGGATGCAGATCGCGGCGCCGTCGCTCAAGACCCTCCCGTCAGTCACGGGGTGAGGCCCCGCCCCCTGGCCCGCAGGCCCCGCCCCCCCTCCGTGTCGGCCCCGCCCACGCCGCACCAACGTCTTGGGTCACGGTCGCTCTGCAGGGCCCAGGGCGGCCAGTCGGGGGCCTCCCGTCAATCACGGGGTGAGGCCCCGCCCCCTCGGGCTCAGGCCCCGCCCCCTAACCCAGGCCCCGCCCACATCTAGTTAATCAGGACATGGAAGTGGCAGTCGAGGGCCTCCTGTCAATCATGGGTGAGGCCCCGCCCCCTTAGTCAGTGGCCCCGCCCCCACTCCCCGGCCCCGCCCACCGAGCCCCAGGCCCAGCGTCACGGCTCGCGGTCACATTGCAGGGCGTGGAAGGGCCAATCAGGGGCCTCCTGTCAGTCATGGGCTGAGGCCCCGCCCCTGACATCATGGCCCGCCCACTGAGTCACAGGCTCCGCCCCAATCCCCGCCCACCGGGCCCTGCGTCTGAATTCGTAACCTCATTGCAGGTCTCAGCACTGCCGGTCGGGGGCCTGCTGTCTGTCACGGGGTGAGGCCCCGCCCCTCCGTCACAGGCCCCGCCCCTCAGTCACAGCCCCGCCCCCTACACCCCAATCCCCGCCCACCGGGCCCTGCGCCTGAACTCGGAACCTCATTGCAGGTCTCAGCGCTGCCAGTCGGGGGCCTGCTGTCCGTCACGGGGTGAGGCCCCGCCCCTCAGTCACAGGCCCCGCCCCCTACACCCCGGCCACGCCCACCAGGCCCTGCATCTGAACTCGGAACCTCATTGCAGGTGTCAGCACTGCCAGTCAGGGGCCTGCTGTCAGTCACCGGGGTGAGGCCCCCGCCCCTGACGTCATAGCCCCGCCCCCTCAGTCACAGGCCCCGCCCTCCGCCCCAATCCCCGCCCACCGGGCCCTGCGTCTGAACTCGTATCCTCATTGCAGGTCTCAGCGCTGCCAGTCAGGGGCCTGCTGTCAGTCACCGGGGTGAGGCCCCGCCCCTCCGTCACAGGCCCCGCCCCTCAGTCACAGCCCCGCCCCCTACACCCCAATCCCCGCCCACCGGGCCCTGCGTCTGAACTCGTATCCTCATTGCAGGTCTCAGCGCTGCCAGTCAGGGGCCTGCTGTCAGTCACCGGGGTGAGGCCCCGCCCCTCCGTCACAGGCCCCGCCCCTCAGTCACAGCCCCGCCCCCTACACCCCCAATCCCCGCCCACCGGGCCCTGCGTCTGAACTCGTATCCTCATTGCAGGTCTCAGCGCTGCCAGTCGGGGGCCTGCTGTCCGTCACGGGGTGAGGCCCCGCCCCTGACGTCATAGCCCCGCCCCCTCAGTTACAGGCCCCGCCCCCCGCCCCAATCCCCGCCCACCGGGCCCTGCGCCTGAACTCGGAACCTCATTGCAGGTCTCAGCGCTGCCAGTCAGGGGCCTCCTGTCAATCACGGGCTGAGGCCCCGCCCCTGATGTCATAGCCCCGCCCCCAGCCCCGCCCCCACACCCCGGCCCCGCCCACAGAGTCCCCGCCCCACGTCTCAGGCCGTGTTCACGCTGTGGGACGTGGAAGGGCCGGTCAGGGGCCTGCTGTCCGTCACCCGTGAGGCCCCGCCCCTGACGTCACAGCCCCGCCCCCGGCCCCGCCCCCAGAGTCCCCGCCCCACGTCTCAGGCCGTGTTCACGCTGTGGGACGTGGAAGGGCCGGTCAGGGGCCTCCTGTCCGTCACGGGGTGAGGCCCCGCCCCTGACGTCACAGCCCCGCCCCCGGCCCCCGCCCCCAGAGTCCCCGCCCCCAGAGTCCCCGCCCCGCGTCTCAGGCCGTGTTCACGTTGTGGGACGTGGAAGGGCCAGTCGGGGGCCTCCCGTCAATCACGGGGTGAGGCCCCGCCCCCTCGGGCTCAGGCCCCGCCCCCTCAGTCACAGCCCCGCCCCGCCCCGCCCCCACCCCCCGGCCCCGCCCACAGAGTCCCCGCCCCACGTCTCAGGCCGTGTTCACGCTGTGGGACGTGGAAGGGCCGGTCAGGGGCCTGCTGTCCGTCACCGGGGTGAGGCCCCGCC